AAACAGTGCGTAAAAATCTCGCCGAAATTGAAAAAAGTAAAAAAAAAATGTGTGATACAATTACAATATAAAATACAAATGACCCGTTTTAATAAACCTTCCCGGGTTTTCTGCCTTCAGTAGATCAAGAAATCAAAAACCTACCCTTTGCTGCAACAACAGCGCACAAGCGGCACGGCAAAAACCGCATAAACGTATACCACAAATCTGTTTCTTTTCGTGTTGTATCTTTCAAGCATTTGTGCAAAGAAGTAATGTCGCAAAACTCATAAATTTCAATGGACAATATCTCAGGTATAAAACAAGATATCTCGTTGAGTTAAACAGCATTAACAAGGGGAAAAATTTTGCTTTCAAATGATTTATTCAATTTTGTAAAAAAGAAACTATTCCTGATGAAAATACATGATGAATATTGCAAAAAATCGGGTTTTTCGTATGCTTAGGCTCAAATATCTCGAAAACCTAAGCCAATCGAGCAAAACTGATTTTGGATTCAGATTAAGTGCAACGAAATCCTTTAGAAAGGTATAAGCTGATCTCAGTTGTGATAGTCATTATATTAAAAAAACGAGAAGTAGATGTGCGATAAGGTTTTTTTTTTTTTTAATTAAGAACTTTTTTTATCAGTATGAGTTGATTTGAATTTTGATGAAATTAAAAACGTGCACTATGCGAGACTATCTCTTCACTTAGAAACGGCAGCATGGATTTAGATGAAATAGGGAACTTGGATCGCTTATAACCTTAACCCTCTAGTGGGCCAATTTTTGTATGAGTTGAAAAATTCACGAATGGGTGATTTTAGCACGAGAAATCCAAAAATGATGTCCATTTCGATCTGTGACAGTAACTTTTTCCTACAGGGGAGAAAAACCAAGACCGTCTGGAGACGGGCTCGCCGATATACTTTGACGTATTTTCAGCTTTCTCTTACACAATGTTGACCTACGAACCGGCAATCCCGTCTACAGACGGTCAAAAATGCAAACTGGGTTTTTATATGTCGGCAAGCCGGTCTGTAGACGGTCTGTGTTCGAAAGCAATTTTCTCCATTTCGAATGGTGACATAATTATATAACTTATATCAAAATACTGTGCTTTTAACTACGAAACCCACTGAATTTTTTTGTATCAAAAAATGTTTCAAAAGAAAAAATTTCTTTAATTACGAAATTACTTAATAGCAAGAAATAATTAATTTTAACCGAGTCTTTCACAATTTATGATTCAACTGCCGATTAAAATACAACGGATTGACATAACGGATTAAAATTTACATCGTCGTAAAGGTACGCTTTTTTTCTATAGATCGTGCTGTTCGAATATAAAAAAAAAATTATTATAGGTGCACTAAATACGTGTTTAGTTAACGACCGTCTGGAGGCGGTTCAGCCTACTAGAGGGTTAACTAATATTTTGAATATTCATAAGGTTTTTGAGATTCAATATTGGGCGTTTTAACGCCATGC